GTAAGCCAATAGCATCTAGATAATCTTTGTACGGTTTTGGCACGTACGCATACAGCACGACACCGAACATGTTGACCACTTTGGTAAGTCCAAATTGTGTAGTTCTCTATTTGTGAAAAAAAACGCTAACAAGGCAAAAGCTGTATAAGTTTCTGTGAGCACGCATAGTTAGCCAAAATAAATTGTAGTGGAAGGTAAATTACGTAACATAATTGGGTTAGCAATCAACGTGACACTAAATTTTTACTAATATAGAAATTTGAATATAAATTCGTTTAAATGATGAAACTGAAGAAAGCTTTTACAATGAATAACCACAAAGTAATCTGCATGTTTCAACAAGCACCTAATCTCCATAAAAATGAATCCATCGAATGAAATTAATATGCACTGAAATTCTATATAACATTAAATTCGGTAAAGGATATTATTAGTAGAAGTCCACAGATTTTACAAGATCTCATACTGACTTTATGACTAATATCAACCTGAAAAGGAGACAGACACGCGTTTGTAAAGTTATTGAGATAAATAGATAATACAATGGTAATACTCTTAGATCTCATTAGTTCTTACAGTCTCCTCGGGTTAATCTAAAATGTTTTCCTCAGGTTTATTTCAGCTTCTTCGTATAAGTTGTTTTAAATTTCCTCTGAAGCTTCTTTTAAATTTCTCTTCTTTTAAAGTTCTAAAGTTCATCTGTAGTAATTCTTCTTGACACAGATCCTCCGCAGATTTTCAGCCGTCGGCTAGCTTAAAAATGACCAAAGCAAATTGTATACTTCTATTGATTTTGCGCTCACCACGGAAATTGCTCGACTCTATCTTTATCGGACGATTTTTGAGACAAATGACGCAAAATCAAAATCCTCGACTTTGCAGTTGCTTTTGTTCGTTTCTTTATTTTGTGGGTCGTACGTAATGGAAAAACAAACTATAGCTGAAATTAATGTTACTATACAGGATGTGGCCATGCGCTTCATTCACATCCGGCAGCAAACTAAAATGTGCTGCACCCTCATTGGTCAAAACGGCAAACCCATGAGAGCGTAACGTCCCTGCCGTTTAAAGGCTCTGCAAAGGTAATTCCTGCTTCGAGAAACAACTAGTCCTCCGGCGGCAGAATCCGTTCGCCTTGCCAGCTCACCCTCGCGCCAAGCTCCACCAGCCAGAAGACCCGTATCCGCGCTCACTCCGACGACAGCGCTCGCTTCGTACACTTCAGATAACCCGGAAATGATCTTAACTTTTTGTTTTTAAACGCGATACCCTGTTATCGGGAGATAATAACAAAACTACACAATAAATGTTATAACATTTTTCTATTAGAACTAAAAATGGCTTTCAAATGCTGCACAATTGATAGGTACCTATTGTTGTTCAGATTTAAATCACTTAGGTTATAATACTCGAACTCGTTTGTATTATACTGAAAACTCCCTTATTTCTGTTATAATTTAAAACAAACACAAAAGAACACAGAAACAATGCCTGTTTGCCTTACATTATTAAGGCGCATTATGAATGGAAATTTTAAATGCGCAATAAGTAGATTTTCAAAATGGAACAAATAAAACTAAAGAGCTAATTGATACTACTGTCTAAATTTCACACTCAACTCTTATTACCTAATTTACACGCAAAGGCCCTCAGATTATTTTAATTGTCGACAGCAACGCTGTTTATGAATTATGATCCAGTTCTTTCTATAGCCATTCTTTCAAAGAATATGTATCGTTAAAACATATAACTTAACCACAACTTTAACTAAAACAGTATGTACAGTAACCGACGAAATTAAACACATGTTCTACCCTTCATGGTATTCTAACGAAAGGTCTCATTGGAAAAATTGGTTTCGACAAACTATAACTTTCCCGTGCGACTCTTTTTCGAGTTCGGCGAGCGACGCGGCCTGAGGGGGGGTGAGTAAAAACTAATTTTATCTCTCATTGTATTCTTAATTAAAGGTCGCAACGAAAGGAACCGTTTTATTGAACAAATGTGTACCTACTCAGAAAGTAAGTACCTAAGGTCTGGTTGCGCTGGGATTTTACCCTGGTTGCGCTGGGATGCCAAAATAAGTAGATTATTGATATAACATAGGCATTGCAGTTGAAAAACAATAGTAGCATGGACTTCCGGTTAAGCCGGAAATGATACCGGATATCTCAATATGCGATCGGATAGATCGTAATGTCACATATAAAATTATATTTGACAATTTTTTCGTATCCCGCGAAATACAAGAGATATTGATGTCACCCTCTAAACTCGAACGCACTGTATACCTATAACTTACTATCCGAATGTGAAACCCCTCAGTTACTGTACTTACAGGGGTGATTGTCAGAGGGTCCTGACGTTCTTTCAATGTCTGAATATCCAAATCATCACACTATTTGTGGACCTGCACAACGAATAAAAGCGCCCAATTTCACAAAAAGCCCCTAATGTTGGACGCCTAAGGATACCAAAACAAACTAATGCCTCAATGTCGCATATCAATCCGGTTGCTTTTATGCCGAAATTTTCATTTGTAATATTATGCCACTGTAATAACAAAAACAATGTAACCGTCCATTATAACTCACAGCGATTTATATTCTCAACCGTATGTACTACCTAATATTTGCCTCTCTGAGATTTAATTAAAATTCTCGTTTTGCATTCGCATTGCGATGTAAATTAACTTATTTACGTGAATTTGAATAACGGCATTAAAATTTCGTCGAATATAATGGCGGTATCGAAAGATGTAACTTTTTAAATTGGTAGGTGTTCAATTTCCCTAATAATGGCCATAAATTGACGAGCACTGAGGGATTAGATTTAATCTGACTATATTGGCCTTTATTCGTATTCATTCGTCCCATTTATTTGTGACACTAGTTGGACCCGTTTGTCAGCTTTAGAAAAGAACATTTTCATTTATAAATTGGAATGAAATGCGTCAATCAATATCGATGTAAACTAACAAGCATACACTAATACTATTAGCTCAGATTTGAACGATAGCGAGCAATGTCTTTAGTACTTGTTTTCTAAGATCGCATGCAAAAGCTGTCTCTGGAAAAGGGACTGCGATATCAATAGCTATTCTTTCAAATGGACCTAGGATTCTTTTATGTGGATTGTTTTATGTTGTTGGTAAGGAAATTGGAAGAGTTTTGTACATAAGAAAAGACAAGAAAAGATGAAATATATTACGCACAAAAAACATCACGGTACAAAAAACCTGGCATAACACGCACAAATACATACTACGACATCAAAATGGAAAAGAGAAATATACAAATAAAACGTCTCAGGTAGGTACCTAATCGATTCTAATGTAGTCAAACAAATAAATAGGTAAAACGAAATACAGGAGACATCATCGATACAAATGGAAGACAAGATAAATCAAATTATTACAAAAACACAGTTTAGATAAAACAACTGGTTGATAAATTGCATGTGCACAAAAAACATCAAAATCGCATGACTTGCCCCTGCATAGGCTACCATTAATTTAATGTGAAACGTATAGGTGAAAATAGCAGCAGTATTTATGTTAAACTATTTATATTATGTTCGACCAACACAAACAGACGCATATTACATATACTAAAAAGAAAAAAGTTAATCAGATGTCCTTCTTCTCGTATTGCTAAGATACAAGAGTTGCAGTTCGCACGAGATTAGTAAGAAACAGATACGGCGAAGAATCGTAACTATATCAGGTACTTATTCCACGTGATAAATGGCTAGAAGAATAATACAGAACAATTTCCTACTCTCTCACGAAAACGAATACGTAAATAAATACTTGTTAAAATAGTATACAGGCATAACCACATGTACAAATCTTTTGCAAATTGTAAATAATAATAAATTGTGGCTTGAAATTTAAATATTGATTTTTAGTACAAGATAGAATAAAATGATTATAACTATCTGTGATTGCGCACTTTTTAAAGCAAAACAAAGAAAATAAACATTGAGAAAGTCGGTGCGCATGCACATTCTGAAGCCATTGAAAATCCGATTCTCATTCCGCCTGTATGCTCTATCAAAGTTAGTCTAGGTTTCTGTAAGTAAAAAATTCTCCAATATCTAAAGACTTATTCAGTGACATCTAGTGTCGACTTTAGACTGAAATAGAAATACCTAAGATCTACATAATGAGTAAAAAAGAAACCCTCTTGACTTATTCCACAGAAAAGGATGTATCCCATAACGGCAATTTTTACGTTCTCGTGAACGCAGAAATATATGCGATACGCACCTGCTTCCTCAACGTTCACGATTAAACTGCGGGGTCAGGTGGCTGCAGTGGCAAGTAGCCCCCACATATAAAAAAATGGTAGCCCCTTAACCACCATGGAGGTAGCACCGGTTGCGCCACAGTGGTGCCCTAAGGACAAAGAACCGTTTATGAATTCTGCTGACGTCATCTAGCGATCGCTTGCACGGCATCAGACGCGAAAAATTCAAATAATTTGTTATTTGATCGCTCACGCCGCTTCAAAACTCGTTTCATCCGCACGCGTCGCCGACGTAGAACTCGATCATAACGACATGCATTTTGATCAATTCCCTTCGTTCGCGTCGCTCGCTTCTACCGCTCACCGTAGGACGGAACACTCCAATCCTATTATACAAACAACCATCCTGACATCTAACGATTAAAAGAGAAAACATTCGAAATAAATTTGTAATGCTACAGCCATTGAGAAAATGAGAAATTAGTTACCCTTTGGCTACAGTATGGCTGGGAGGTATACAGTTTCCATGTAACCCTCCAGTTTCAATCGTCTACGGACTTTCACACGATCAAATTGCCACTAGCGGCTGCAAGGCTGGATATTGTCACAAATTGTTGTATGGGATCGGCGCTTCTGATTGTTATAAATTAAATGTTTCTGAACCCCTGTGCCGGTGGGTTTGCGAAACTTGTAGATCCGCCACTGTTTTACCATTTTTGCTCTGACACTTGTCCGTTGCTAACTTTACTCAGTAAAATGGTTGCTTCTCAGTTGCTCAATTCATAAGTCTGACTACGAATACAAATAAATACAAAATACCATTCCATAAGTAAAATATGGCTAAAAGGCAATATTTTGTAGCGCTTGTGACTAGGAATCCTTAATTTATAATGCATTTAAAGGTACAAAATTGAATGGTGTATAGTATTTTAATAGAAATTGATCTAATTGGCGAGAATACCATTGTCTAATCAATAATGAATAAGTAGCGGAATAACAACAGTCTTTAAAGTGAAGAAGTGAGCACGCTCTTTAGAAAATGAGTGCAAGAAATAAATCGGGAAATAAACAGGATGACCGCAGCGTTGAGGTTTGTACTTAATGGTTCATTATTACTCCTGAGTCTTTACTATTGTGACAATTACCTACTTTTTAAAATTGTTTCTCATTTTTGTGTCAAACTAATCAAAATTTATTGTAATTTTCGAAACTTTTCTTTTTTACATAATGGACAGTTGGAATGATAATACACCTGAATCTGTATTACTATTTCCAATGACGATAAAGTAAAATTTTGCTTATAATTTTACAGACGTTGGCGGAGGTATTTCGGTGTTTTATTTGTATGGAAAAGTTGAGGGACGCTCATCTGTGTCCGCATTGCTCAAAATTATGCTGTTACATTTGTATCAGACGATGGTTAACGGAACAACGGTCGCAGTGCCCACACTGCAGGGCGTCATTGCACTTGCACGAGCTGGTAAATTGCAGATGGGTTGAGGAAGTTACACAGCAGCTGGATTCCTTGCAGGCTGTAAGTGGGACACGTTGTGAGGACAATGAACGAGACAAGTAAGTATTTTTTATTTTTGCTTACACAAATTGCAAATTAGGATAGACGTTTCCTAATCAAAATGTAATAAACGAGGTAATAAACATCAATAAAAGTAGATATTTTTTGGGCAAGGTGCTCGACTCATATGGAAAAATTGTCTGTTTATTGCTGGACTTGTCGATGCTGCATTTGCCATCAATGCGCCCTATGGGGTGGAACGCACTCCGGGCATACATTTAAACCGTTAGAGGAAGTTTACGAGCAGCACGTCACCCAAATTAAAGATGAAGTGGCACAGTTAAGACGACGTCTAATGGAACTTATTAGTATTGTACAGGAAGTGGTGTGTAGACTGCGCCATAACCGAATTTTCTCATCACTTGTACGTTTTCAGGAACGGAACGTCGAATCGGTGCGATCGGCTAAAGACGATCGAGTTAGAGAAATTCGTAATGCCGTAGAACTGATGATTGCTCGACTGGACTCTCAGTTAAAAACAAAACTGCTCACTCTTATGGGACAGAAAGATTCCCTTACTCAGGTGTGTATTTTTTTATGGACCTCCACTATGTTCGATGTTTCACATTAAATTAATTCAACATTTGAATTCTGAACCTGATCATTTTTCATCATTCATTTTAAACAATGCAGCAGTCCATGCTAGTTAATCGATCTGTTAACTGAACCCAAGGGATGAGACAATGTTTATTGGCAGCTTGAGACTCTCTACTGCCAAAATTTATTTCATGTAATTCAATTAAATACCAACTTTTGCGTATTAAATAACAAAAAATGTTTAAAGTGGGATAAGTGTCCAGTTCTCAATGTTCAGCTCAAATTTTAGCGCTTCATGTAAGACATTCTACGGAAGTGTAAGTGGGATCTGAATCTGTCTAGGAATTTACAGATCGTTCTCGAAAATTTATTAATCTACCTTAACAATCTTCTTAAATTTCTGTGAAGTTGTTTCAATATCAAGATAAATGAAGGTACCGCCTATGTACGCCCCGGCAACCAAGAGCTGGTTACGAAAATAAGAAATTTGCTATGGCTGCCACAGATACCACCTGCGCATGGGCGATTCTGCCTTTTTATGTCTAAAGAATATGTGTACCAAATTTGGTTCCAATCGATTCAGCCATTTAGCTGTAAATGAGATTAGGTCCAGACTGACCAACAGACCGACCAACATCATCGAGATTTTGTTTGATTCGGATTCCTGGTGCTTTAAAACGTGTATCTCCATCAAAAAAGTGGGAGATTTTTATCCCAATCCTTACTGACTCGCTTACTGATATGCGGGTGGTAAAAATGATAAAATGCGGTTAAATGGTTGTAGAAATATCTCCCTCACCAGTTGAGAATCCTATACCGTTGCAACCAGAAGCGGTTGCAGGGGCGTCTGAGGAATCCCGTCAGCTAAGTACAAAACTGAAACTGTCAATGTGACATTCTGCTATCAAGATTTTGGTCTATGTGTAAAAGCCCCAAGAAGGAACACAACTGGTCATCACCCTGTGAAGCTTTTTAGAATAAAAAAAATGCAGAAGAAACTGATATTATTTTGTTGTTAAATCAAATTTTTACAAATATACAGGGTGGTTCACAGAAAGAAGTCCACCCTAGAATTTTCCCGCCTTCCCAGTTTGGCTCTGAGATTAAGAATAGCAAATTTTAAACAAAAGTATCAATATTTATTTATGCATCAAGAACCCCTGCGCACTTTGTTTGAGAAAAGCAACAAATTTGTGTCAAATTGAGATTTTACCTTATTTTACACTACCGTACCATGTGTCCTATTTTGATTGAGACTGCAGTGTATCTCGGCTGTTTTTAAAGGTAGAGACTTAATGCCACGTATCGTTAAAGTCAATCACAATCATCGTAACGGAACTTTGAAATCACTTTCCTGCAAATTTATTTTTTTATTTTATTTTTTATTTATTTATTTTATTCCGAAAAACTAGTAGGTAGTTTTAAAGATAATTCGATTTGTAAGAAAAATTGAGCATTTGCAAGCGTCAGTATATTGTCAAAATTGTTACTTAAATTTTAATTCCAGGTTTTATGTCTGGGTCGAATTAATACATATACATATAATTATTAATTAATACAATTAATAAATATGATTTTAGCTTTGGACGAGGCAGATAAAAATTGCCTTTTTTTGGCATGGCCACCTCGTTATTATTATGTAAATTACAAAATAATAACTTTTTTAAGATTAGGATATAAAAACCAGGAAAACCAAGATATTTTGAAAAATATCAGAGATAGATATAGGGCATTATTATCAAAAGTTGAAGGATTTTGGAAGAGCTAAAAGATGAGAAAAATATACAGGGTGTTCCATTTAAAAAAAGTGAGATTTTTTAATATGAAGTTTTGTAACTTTGCATCTACAAAAAAACACTCTGTAAGCGATTTTTTTAATGGATAAAAGATATAAAACCTGGAATCAAAATTTAAGTAATAATTTTGACAATATACTGTCTTGCAAATGCCCAATTTTTCTTACAAATCGAATTATCTTTAAAACTACTAGTTTTTCGGATATTAACCATATAATAAAAAAGACGTACAATTACGCGTAGAACTCAAAAATGCTTTCAAATACTGGGGGTTCTATTTAAAAAAACGTACCATTTTGGCGCCCTATTTTGTGGGCGTACCCTGTATAATTCCAAATATTTTTAAAATGTGGAGAATATTCAACCATATCATAATACAAAAGTACTCTATCGAAAAATCTTATCTTCAAGGCATTAAGTTACTTCGCGCAATCGTTAACTCACCCTGTACATGTGAAAAATTAACTGTGTACACAAAATCTCCCAGATACCCATCTAACCACCCTGTATATTAATCTCAAATGAAAACAACGCGCATCTGTGGAATTAACCCTAACTTGTAATAACACCCTGTATCTGAGACCTCCAGCTAAAGGTCGCTTGACATGGAGTAATACAACGCGCGAAATTACAAGATCAAATCATTGCATGCAATAACAATTGCATTGTATTTGACATGAAGCAATTCTGTTTCAATGCCACATGTCTGATGACAGACGAATTTGGATGTGATAACAAAGTTACTAACCCCAAATACCCCCAAAAAATACGAAAATTACAAAAATAAATGAAATTAAAAAAAAAAAGTAATCAGTGCGTCCCTCAGCATCATAGTTATCGCGGCTGGATTTTACTAGGCTAGTGACGCAAAAACAACTAGATTGTGCCTAGAATTGCGCCATTCATGCAGGGAAAATAGCTCCGGTCCTATAAAAATTGCGTGAAAGTCTCTGGCAGCAATTGACCAACTGACTTTGAACTGCGCGTGCCTTTCGCAATTTCTCTTGCAACTTTCATGCAATTCAAATTTATAAAAGCAAACACCCTACTAAATCCGCAAGCAACTAATACAAAACAATTACCATACGCCCTATGTTATTTACAGTAATTACAAAGGACAAAGGAAATGATACATTTACCTATATTTGTAAATCAAAAACATTCCACCAAAAGTTATCTACGTTTTTCTGCTTCCTTTTCTCGCTTGAGAAAACTAAACCACACTCTCTTTTACGCGCGACCAATAGCGAGACTTTGTCCTTGTGTAATTTGAATTGCTAAGATTCGCAGTTGTCCGACTCGAAAATGTTCCTTCGCGTAAATTTTATCACTCGTACACAAATGGCTTTATCACATCAGGTTGCTAAACAGTTTTTCTTAGTCCCGGAATTTACTGTAATTCGTCTAGTCTAGTCGCACACCTACAAAATTGCAGGTAAGTCGCAATTCGTCGCCGAATAACGTGAAATAAACACCTGCTAAGCATTCAATTGCAACGCACTTAAAGTGGTACGTGAGTGTTCGCGAAAATCAACATAGAATAAATTTGCAATGGTGCAAAAATTCACGCACAAGCAGTGTACGTGGTTGCTCTTCGAATCCCTCGCTCTCCCCCTTCTCTCGCTATTTACATTTTGCTCGGTAGAAAAACTGAAAAGGAAATCATTTTTGAACGCACATGACCTCGACTGGCGTATCCTCACAACCTACAGAAAACCCACATTTCCATCACGTACTCGGCTTTAAACAGAACGATACGAAACTTTTAACGGTTTTAAAGACTTGAGTAAAATTGCATTTGCTAATTACTCTTGACTCATGCAAAAAAAAATATTTCAGATCCATTAATACACGCACTGTGCACGTTCACAAGGACAGTAGTACGAAGTGTTCATAGGGCTACAAATGACAGGAAACTTAAACAAAATACCCACAAACATAAGCAGTTACCACTACACATCCTCAACCTTATCAAGGAAAAACACCAAATTAGACGTCTATGGCAGAGAAATAGAACGCCGCACCACAGACAACAATTGAATCGATTAACTCACAGAGTGAAATGGGAGCTTGATAACCACCGGTTAGTATGCTACCAGCGATACATCTCGGACTTAGGGACGCATGACTCATCATTATGGAGAGTTACCAAGAGAATTCTGAACCAACCGAATATGATGCCTCCGATGAAATTTAACAACAGAAACTACTGCAGCGAATTGGAAAAGTGTAACCTATTGGCAACACATTTAGAAAACATATTCGAACCGGAAAAACATCCTGCTGAAGCACAGTTTTATGCAGGCATAGACGCCGAAATACACCTGTATCCCACCCCCTCTAAAACTAAGCAAAATCAAATAAAACTTACATCGCCAAGTGAAATTCAGGAACTCATAAAAGAACTCCCAACAAAAAAATCACCCGGACACGACCTGATTCCCAACATAGTACTGAAAAACCTTAGTGATAAACTAATAGCAAACCTTGTAACAATATTTAATGCATGCATTTCAACAGGATACTTCCCAACAACATGGAAAAAAGCAGAAATAATCTTAATTCATAAACCAGGAAAAAATAAAAGTGACCCCAACTCCTACAGACCTATTAGTTTATTGCCCACAATCTCAAAAATACTCGAAAAATTATAAAAATTCGACTACACCAATTTGTAGAACAGAAGGAGATAATCCCGCATCATCAGTTTGGGTTTAAACCTAGGCACTCGACCTTACATCAATTACTACGAATCAATGAAGTGGTTATTAACGGATTTGAGAACAAGTTACACACGTGCATATTGTTTTTAGATTTCGCACGGGCTTTTGATAAAGTCTGGATTAATGGATTGCTATACAAACTTAAACAAAAGAAAATTCCCGGATATTTACTAAAAGTTATACACTCGTTTCTACATAATAGAACCTTTTACGTCAGAATCAACGCCACATACTCAGACGTAAAACCGATTAAGGGTGGAGTCCCGCAAGGCTCAGTCCTAGCACCCATGCTGTTTAACCTATACACGGCAGACATACCCACCCCGCAATCTAGTAACCTAGCCATGTTTGCAGACGATACAATACTTCTAACACAACACAATGAAATATTAACGGCCGCTGCTCAACTACAACTATCAATAGACGAGCTTTTAAGTTGGCTACGCAAATGGTGCTTGACATTAAATACCACCAAATGCGTAAGCAAAATCTTTACCTTACGGCGACCGCTAAACCCACCTAACATAGTC